ATCAATCAATCATTCTCATCAAACCAGCCTTGATGTTTCCTGATACAGAATCCAAGTGTCTCTTCACAGGTGCTGATGATGGTGGCCTTGAGTGCACCCCACACACTGCTGACATTCTCTCATTGTTGGTTGGAATTCACCAGTTTTTCAGTGAGGCACTGGTGGAAGAGGTCTCACTTACTTGGGTATTTGAATCCTTCAATGTTGATCTTCCTTTGGCATTGCTTCTGCTGCATCCATCGTTTGGAAGCCAATTTGAATGACATAACCAAATGAATGAGTTGGTGATCAGTCCAGCAATCATCAGCTCCTAGCATAGCTTGGAAGATACAGACATCTTTGTGATCCTGGGTATGGACGATGACATAGTCAACTAGGTGCCAGTGCTTAGATTGTGGGTGTTGCCACAAAGTCTTGTGCCTGTTTTTCTTGTGGAACAGGGTGTTGGTGACGGTGAGTCCATGTTCCATGCATTTCGTCAAGAGGAGGATGCCATTGGAGTTGACCTTTCCTACTCTTTCTTTGATGATGTTTCCGTTCCAGAGGTTAGTGCGCCTTCTGACTCTGGTGTTGAACTCACTAAGAATAAGTCTGTCTCCCTCCAGAATGTCAGAAAGGACTTGGTTAAGGTTGGCATAGAATTCCTCCTTTGTTTCATTGATGACATCAAGAGTCGGGGTATACGTGCTGATAATAGTGTCATATTGGCTCCTTGCCAATTTAAGAAATAGTCATGAGGAGCTCATTTATTCCAACAGGGAACTCATTGAGTTGGTTTATGAGTTCATTCTTAATGGCAAAACCAACTCTGTGAAGTCAGTATTCTTCTTCCTGTTTATCCTTCCAGAAGAAGGTATAGCTGCCTCCATCCAGGAAGAGCACACACCAACTGCTGCAGCTTCCTTAGCCTGACGAAGGGTTTTTGAACCCGAAAGCTTGCTTAATAACTATTCTCCAACCATTTGGGTTGGTCTAATAAAAGATATCAAATTCACCTAAGGAACCTTGTCTGCCTATATCCTTAGACCAACACGGCTACAACCTAAATCCCTGTAGCTGCCTCCATGTCTTTTGAGCTGTCCATCTCCTGCTCACCAGGTCTCGCTCAGTGCAGCTATATTGTTGTTGTGTCACCACCTGAGTTCTCAGGCCACAGTTGCAGTGCAACACTTAGAGTGTTCGCTATGATAGGTTCTGATATTCCAGATCCCAAAAATGATGGTGTGTCTTCTCTCCTACTGGATGCAGTTAGCCTGTCTACTTTCTTCCTGACTGGATATGTTGAGGGTACCTTCTAGCCCCCTCCCCATTGAGGGTGAGCAAAGAGGATCCTGAAGAGGGCTGCTCAGTCACAGCTACAGCTGCTGAATTGCACTCCTGTCTTGTCCAAGGGCTAGATGACCTTCTTGTAACTGCCACCTTCATGCCAGTTCATGACAAGGAGGTTCCAGATGTCACAATTCTACTGCCATTGCCATTAGCTGGTCACCAAAGGGTTGAGGAATGTGTTGGAGAAGCTGTTTTCATGGAAGATGCCTATGTGTGACTTCTTTTATCATGAGAAGCTGCTGCACATCAGCTTCCACATGGCTCTTAACAGAAGAGGACCTTAATCCAATGGCAAGGAGACCAAGACAACTGGGGATTTAACATCTTATTCTGCCTGTTCCACCATTGAGGACTTGTAGATCCATGGCTGGAGACTGGGCAGGCTTATTATAATGGCACCTGTGCTCACCATGTCACAGCACCGTCAAATGATATATGTGGCTTTTCAAGAAAGCATTACCATCTGCTGTCCTCACCACATCCTGGTAGTGCTGCTGCTTGGTCCATGACTGCTTATTTGTCAGAGGTACCCCTGCTTATTTCACAGCTAACCTTCCCTGAAGGTCATTCCACTATCTGCCACCTGTGGATGCAATGGGTAACAGTACAGCTGTGCCCCACAGATAAAGGGGAATAATTACTTCCCTTGATCTGCTGGCAACACTCCTACTAATGCAGCCCAGTATGCTGTTAGCTTTCTTTGCAAGAATGGCACACTGTTGGCTCATATTTAGCTGATTGTCCATTGTAACCCCCAGGTCCTTCTCTGCAGAGCTGCTGCTTAGCTACTTAGTTCCCATCCTGTACCGGTATTGTTCCATCCTAAGTGCGAGACTTTGAACTTGTCCTTATTGAACCTCATTAGGTATCTTTTAGTCCAGTCCTCCAATTTGTTGAGACCCTGTGGCACTCCACTTGATACCAGCTACCAATTAGTCTTCAAACCATTGATTACTACCCTCTAAGCCCGACAATCCAGCCAGTTTTCTATCCACTTTACAGTGGATATCCACTTTACCCATTCAACCCATCCCTCCGTAGCTTGCTTGCAAGAATGTTGTGGGAGACCATATCAAAAGCCTTGCTAAAGTCTAGGTTTATCATGCCCACTGCTTTTCCTGCATCCACAGAGCCAGTCACCTCACTATAGAAGGCAACCAGGTTGGTCAGGCTTGACTTGTCCTTGGTGAATCAATGCTGACTGTTCCTAATCCCCTCCTTCTCTTCCAAGTGTTCAGAAATGGATTCATTGAGGACCTGCTCCATGATTTTTCCAGGGAATGCGGTGAGGCTGACTAGTCTGCAGCTCCCTGGATCCTCATTCTTCCGTTTCTTAAAGACGGGCACTATATTTGCCCTTTTCCAATTGTCTGGGACCTCTCCCAGTCACCATGAGTTTTCAGAGATAATGACCAGTGGCTCTGCAAACACATCGGCCAACTCAAGCAGCATCCTCAGGTGGATTGCATCCAGCCCCATGGACTTATACACATCCAGCATTTCTAAATAGTTCCTAACCTGTTCTTTCATCACTGTTGACATGCCTGAACAATACTCTTATACCCCTCTAGTCGCTTGTCCAAGTTTCCACTTGCAAGCTTTCTTTCTGTGTTTTAGCTTGCTGAAGAGTTCCCTGCTAAGTTAAATTGGCCATATTTGCTAGTTTTTGTCTGTATTGGGATTATTCATTCCTGCGCCCTCAGTCAGATGTCTTTAAAATACAACCAGTTCTCCTGGACTCCTTTCCCCTCAGACTGGCCTCCAAGGGGATCCTGCCCATCAGTTGCCTGACGGAATCAAAATCTGCGTTTCTGAAGGCCAGGGTTCTTACTCTGCTGTTCTCCTTCCTTCCTTTCCTCAGGATCCTGAACTCAGTCATCTCTTGGTTACTGCTGTACCAAGTTGCCATCCACTGCTACATTCCCCACCAGTTCTGTTTATGAGCAGCAGGTCAAGGAGATCATGGCCCCTAGCTGGACTCTCCAACACTTGTACCCGATACTCTCCAAAAACTTCTTGGATTGTCTGTGCACTGCTGTATTGCCCTCCCAGAAGATGTCAGGATGACTAAATTCCCCAGTGAGAACCAGGGCATGTTATTGGGAAACTTTCACTAGCTGTTTGAAGAAAACCTCACCCACCTCATCCTCCTGGTTTTGTGGTCTATAGCAGGCTCCTACCACAAAATCACCTTTGTTGATCTCTTCTCTGACCATAATCCAGAGACTTTCAACGGGCCTATGTCCAGTTTCATACTAGAGCTCTGAGCAATCATACATCTTTTACATAAAGCACAAATTCTCTTCTCCCCTGCCTGTCCTTCCTGAACAATTTGTACCCATCCATGACTGCTCCAGTCATGTGAGGTATCCCACCAAGTCTCTGTTATTCCAATCACATCATTACTGATGGCATCTCACTCCAAATCTCCACACAGTCACCCAGCACTTTCATATACACACTGAAGAGGAATGGTGACTGGACAGAGCCATGGGAGACCCCATAGTAAAGGGCCTGAAGAAAGGATGAGCACTCACCCATTACAACGCTTTGGGATCTCCCTACTGGGAAAGAGAGGATCCAATTTAGAGCTGTCCTGTGAATATTCATCATGTCATGTAATCACTTTGTCAGCACCTCATGGTCAACTATATCAAAGACTATTTAAAGACGGAATAAGAGCAGTAGGTCACAATTTCCCCTGTTGATCTTCAAGTGAAGATTATCAACCAAGGCTATGAGCACAGCCTCTGTGATAAACCCAGGACCAAAGGCAAACTAATGGTATCCAGGAAACCAATGGTATCTACATGCACTTGGAGCTGTCAGGCTCATTCAATGACCTTTCCTAAAAAGGGGAGGTTGGAGACAGGGCAATAACTGGATAGTGAGTTAACATCCAGCAATGGCTTCTTGAGCAGCAGCTGGACAATTGCAGATTTAAGAATCCAGAACCCTGCCCAACAGTGTCAATGCCAAAGAGAGGCATTGACAACCTTTGCCAGCAGTGGCCCCAGTCTCCCTTGGCTGGCTTTTACAAGCCAAGACGGGCATAGGTCCAGTTCACAGCTAGTCACCCTCATCCATCCAAGCACATCCTGCACATTAGTGGATGACAGCAATCTAAACCAATCAGCATAAACAGGACAAAACCATCCTTCCTCAACCCCAAACTATGATTCTACAGCAAAAGTGAAAGTACCCAAGATATGACAGATCTGGGTGTTTTTTGTCTGCAAAGTATGTGGCACCTATGCGGACACTTTATTGATGAGTTCTGGATTTAATGTTGACAAATATTTCAAAACCATAAAGAACCCACCAAAATAAAGAACATCTCTGTCATGGACATAACTGACCCCACTGCAATGTATTACTACACTGCAGAGTGTTACCAATTCCCTCTAGAGATCCAATGACACATTCTGTGTATTACACAATCACAAGCAAGCACTGCAGACCCCACAAACATTGAATTATAAAAGCTCTAGTGACTACTGGCTGCCAACAGCTTCTTACACATACACACAAACACATTTTAAATAATAGATTATTTTAGTATTACTTTACTTGGATTAACAGAAACTAAACAATGCAACTACCTAAGGAACAGTTATTATAAATTACAATAGAGAATCACCCAACAGTAAAGTAGCAGGTATCAAACTCACCCTAAGCACCAGGCCACATCCAGCTCATGGGGCTTCTCCCAGGCCAGATCCACAGGGCTGGCAGCTAAGGCAAGGTTGGCAGTGGCAGCAGTGGTAGCAGGAGGTCTGGTGAGGGCAGGGGCCAGATGACTGCAGGATAACCAATGGCTATGCTACACAACACTCATTTGCCTTCCAGCTGCTGATGGCCACACCAAGTGGGGCCCAAGGGCCTTGAATTTTGTAGCAATCCATGCCCCTTTATACCCCTTTCCACTAGGCAGCAAGCTGGATTAAAGGAGTAAAGGCCCCATTCATACTATGCTTCTGCTGTACGCTAAACAGGCTGTTGTCTCCATATCTCCTGCATGAAGCCCACTGTGCTGTAGGCTCCTTTTTTAGCTAGTGCTGGCTTCCTGTCCCTTCCTTCCCCTTACTGCTGTGTTCAGGTGTTGGGGAAAGGGGTTCAGTTGAGAAGGGTGGGGCTTTGAAGCAGAAAATAGGGGCTTTGGATAGAACAGTCAGTAAGGTAATAGAGCTCCCAGCTCATGTAGAGCTCCCAACAGCTCTGCTGACACACTGGTGAGCTCTAAGATCCCATTGCACATGCACCACAGCCAAAAAAGTGGGGTGTGACTCTGGATTCACTCATTAGGATGCTGCACTGCTGAAACTCCATCAGTGTAAATTTCTTTTGTGTAGTGCAACTAGGCATGGGACACAGTGGCAGGAGCACAGCTATGGGCAGTTAAGTGTGAAGCTGCTGGTGCAGGAGAGGGCCAGGTGACAGCAATGAGTTGCTGACCCACAGAAAGCTAAAAACTCCTGAGGAGTGGAAGGGGGAGATGAGAGGGATGGGGTGGTGCTAGCAGTGGGCACTAAGCTACACTGCAGCATTTTCTCTCTGGGTCTAAGGAAGGACCACAACTGTGAGTTAACCCTTTGTTGGTGGATACAGTTTTGAGTTAAGTACTTGTTTTGTTATGGACAGTGATTTTCCTTGCAGGGATGAGTTTGCTCCATAAAAGTTAAAGCACTGGGAGACAGCCAGCTCCTGGATGATTGCTCATCCCCTGCTGTGATGAGAGTAGGGCACTGCTTGGCTCCACCTGCCAGGAGAGCTTCCTGTGGTGGCTCATGGCAGGAAAAGCACTCATGGTTTGTCTACGAGTCCTGGCTGGGAGAGAGGCAGCTGGTTCCTCTGCTGCCACATGGAAGGCCACCAGTTGCCTACTAGCCGTGGGGAGCACATCTGGTGCCTCTTTGTATTCCCCATAGCGGGTAGAGCATGTGGCTCTTCCCTGGGCCCCTTAGCAGGGACGAGAATGGCTAGACATGCTTCTGGTGTCCCAGCTGCTATTTCCCTGTGCTCCAGCATGCTTTTGGCCCACTTCTCTGGGGCTCCGGGCCAATCGGAGGTATGCTTCTGGTCAGCCTGGAGATGGCCAGCTTAGGTGCAGCCCAGCAACCTGTGCCACAGTGGCCAGGTGAGTCAGGCATGCACCTGTTACATATCAATACAGAATAAATTAACAGGTTTTGACAACCTTGAGCAGGGCTGTTCAGCTGCGACCTTGCTAGACACATGTAGCCCATGAGGAGTTAATGTGTCCCCCCAAAGCTTCTACCCAGTTGTCACTCCCCGTACCATGTCAGCTGCTACTGCAGATGGGGTCTCAAGGTTCCTGCTCCCTCCCTTGCCTTTTGCTTCCTCACCCTGTTCTGGGGGGCCATGGTGGCACAGCCCACAGCATCAGGAAAGCCCACAGTGCAGTAAGAGAGCTGAGGGGGGAGGGCTATCTGGGAGCACCGTGCAGAAGCTCCATCTATATATGCAGTGCAATAGTTGCCTGTGAGGTGCAGTGGCCACCCATATGCATAACGCAGCAGTGAGTGGTGGGATCTGCCTGTATGTGTAGTGGAGTAGGTAGTAGTGCAGTCTAGGGGCCTGTGGCTCACACAGTAATGTGGCTCCTGGCGACTTAGAGGTTGGACAGCCCCAGCTTAGAGTACTAAGTCAACATGCATGAGAGTATGAATGAAAAACAATACAACTGCTAGCTAAGGAGACATTTTTTTTTTAGATCAGATGTTTACTATCAGACTCTGAAGTGTGTATAAAATGATCTAAAAAGTTGGCAGATTGCTTCCATATAAAAATGTGAACACATATGGACATAAAATAATTATGGCTTTCAAGTATTTAGCATAATAGTATTCACTAAATAATGCTGACATCTTTTTGACATAAATCAAAGTCATAAGGTGCAGAGAAGGCAGTTAATCATTAACTATGAAACGTATAGGAATGATTGCTATCGGATGCTTTTTAAATTAAGAGAGAGGGGAAAAAGTACAAAGTACCATCAATCCATTCCTCATAGAAACAAGTCTAAAATGTTAGCACCATATTTTCTGCTTTCTATGGTAATACACAAGCAATTAAAAATAAGGAAATCCTTATTTGTTGAAATAAATAAATACAACTCTTAGGGAACCTATAACGTGAATGCTTGGTTTTGATCTTTTCTGTATAATGTGCATTCCATTTGCTTCTGTTTCAATCATCTTATTGTTCTTTGTTTAGTTTTAGATAGAAATTTGTGTGGCTTTTCCAACTTTTTACATAATTTTCCATCTCCTGTTTACTGCTTTTTTCAGTTTTCCATGTCCATCTAGGCACTGCCATTCCAGAAATTGTAAGAATGTAAAAGGAGATGGGTGATGATTTTGCACACACTACCCATCACTGACACTATGAATTCAAGATCGTTTTTACTCGTGTTCATGCAGAATCTGCAAATATTCTTGTTCTAATATGAATCTGTTATTTCAGAAGAATAAAATGTTTTTTTCTTTTCAGATCATGGGGCCAGGAAATATAGTGAAGATGCTGTTAGTCATTGGAAAGAGGAAATTAAATTGAATATATCAAAGAGGACAAAGAATAAAATATAATGCTATTAAACTTCAAAGAACAAAAATATATCTACATCCAAATTTTATTCAAGGATATGAAAATGATTTCAGATAAGAGTGAAAGGGAATTTTATCTGTGTTCTACAATGATTTGGTCTATGGAAACCTTCTTTAGAAGGATTTTTGGAACAAGCATTTGTTCGCACCACTGATCAGCAGATAGTGCTTAGGGATTGTTAAAGCACAATTAACCCGTAAATGGAATGTGAAATATGAACACAGACAACTGTGTCCTAAAATCAAAGTCTAACTTTATTAATACAACAAGTATCATCTCAGCAGTTCCTATATTCAGAGAGAGAAAAAACACTTAGTACAATGATCTCACCCAATCCCAGATGTTACTTTGCCTTACAGAAAAGATAGCCACTCCGTTCCTGAAGCAAAGGGTGCATCATTGGCTGGGATGATCCAGACAGGTGTTGAAAGCTGGATTCATGATGTAAATGATGATGAAAACAACACTTAACTTTCTCGCTTTCCCCTTTTATGCTTTTCTTTAACTTGACTCCTTTGATGACTCCTTTTTTTAGGATTGGTCTTTCTGCAGTCAGCATATTTTTCATATTTTATCCTGTCAGCATATTCCTTTGTTCAACATCCCCATTACGAGCACACTTCTTAATTTGGCCTTTTTCTGGTGTCTTACTTTAAGCATTGTCCACTGGTCTCCTTTATCACCTTTTCATTAACATATCCAATCATTTCATCCCTCTGATTCAGCTGGTTAGTGCCAAATTCAGTTAATTTGAGCGAATAACAAAACTATTACTATGTTGCGTTAGAAAAACTTTTCACAGTGATAGAAAAAGGAAAGAAACACCATGCAAGCAAACTCAAGACCATAAAGCTGCTTGCAAGAAACAAGGCCAACTGATACTGCAAATGCCAGCAAAATGAAAAGTTCAGATAACAATGAGACTGTACAGAACTTTAGACTGAATATAAAAGCAAACTTTAAATAATGCTATAATTCACCACTCTATAAACAGGTGCAACTTTAAAGCATAAAATATGACAAGTGTAACAGGAGGGACGTCAGGGTCGCCGTGCTCTCCCCTGCCGCCTCCTTCACCGTGCCAAGCAGCTGTCTTGCACCCTCCGATTCTCGCTCGCCACATCTTTGATTTTCTATATTTTATAGGGAGGCTACCTTCTGTCCTCTTGGCCACGGTTCCCCTGTCATGGGTGTCCCATGCACCCAAGGCTTATGGGCTATGCGTGGCTCCTACCACCCCAATACCACGCCCCAAGCCTCGCAGATGTAATGGATGTTGTTCTGTCCCTCTCTCCATCTTCATGCCCTCTATGGCACTCGGGCTCTCTGCAGTCCCATCTCTCTCTCTCTCTTTTTATGCCCTTCTCTTGATTCTGTGCTGCCCTGTCTCTCGGGGCCTTCTCGGTACACCGCCCTGTCTCTCGGGCTCACCACAAGGCTGCCCCCTTCTCTGGGGCTCACCACACCCGCACTGGGGTTGCTCAACAATGCCCCCTTCTCTGGGCTTCTCAACTGCCCCTCTCTGGAGCTAGGGTCTATGTACCCCGTATGCAGCGCCCTCACTGGCGCTGGGGTCCCTACACTATTGTGAGGCCTCCTCCATCCCCTTATAGCTTCACCCAAACCACCAGTGTAACCAATAGCAAACACAAACAACACCATAAACACAAGCCCCTGGGCTACAACGCAAACTTAAACCTCCAGCCAAACTATGCTCAGGCCTACCAAGGTTCTCTATCCCACCGCGGTGACCAACACTGCTCTGGCATCCCAGTTTGGCTTCTCTTTTCTGGCAGAGAGCTCCTTCTTTCTTAGCTGCTGGTAGGGAACCACCACCTGGCTTCCTGCCAGTGGTTTATATAGGAGCCAGGCCCTGCCCCTTCTTGTCAGCTGGCTAGGCAGGTGCGGATCATTAGCTCCCTCTAGTTACCTCAGCTACCGGCACCTGAGGAGTCTTCCTGGCTCTCTCAGTAGCAGGCACCATAGTGCCCTGCTACAACAAGCTACCCTAACACATCCAGTGAAGCACTGTCAGCACAACTCTAATTTAAAAGAAACCTTTAAAATTAGTACCACCTGGTTTAAAAGAAATCATAGGGTATCAGAATAGCCCAG